TATATTATTTTTTTAAGATGACATGATTATTTATTTGATAGTGATGTGATAATTGTAAATGTTGAAGGTGAGAGTTGATCTACAAATTCATTAATACGAGTTCTAAAATAACACGAGATTCATTATTAAGTTATTTAACACATTTGATATAAATATAAAAATATCCTTATAATATATATTTTAGTTAGTAAGATAAAAAATTAATAAATAACTCTAAAAAACTTAAGTATATTACGTAATTTTAATTAAAAGTGTTTATAAATATGAGCTTTAAACATAAATTAATCTAAACTAACCTAATTATTTTGCATAATTTTTTTTTAGTGTTTGTATCAAATTTAACTCATGTAAGTTGAATAATAAAATTTTGATTTTCAAATTCAACCTAATTAAATTTTACTCATACTCATTGTATATTATAAAATTTATTATATATAATTATATATTTAAAGTAAAAAAAAATACAAATTAAAGTGTATAGTCTTATCTCAAATTATCTTTCTACATCAAATTATAAGACTCGTACCTTTCTTGTTATTCTTCTCACTCATCTCCTTCTCTATTTCCCTTTCAACTCAATTTTTTTTTTCTTCAGTTAAGCAACCTCAAATTCAAGGATTCCCATAGATGCTGGACAATAGAGAAAGTAGAAAGCCTTGAAGCCCGGAGTTGGTTCGCATCACCATTTCTCTTCTTCTTCTTCTTCTTCTTCTTTTTCTTCCCTGTGAGCTCGAAACCAGAATTCTTCTCCCTTCGAGATAAGCGAAGCTAGAATCTTGGACTATTGTTTGAATTGAAACGTAATATTTGTTAGATTCTTGGAAAATTTGAGTTTTGGGGGTGGGTTCAAGGTTGGTTGCATGTTGAAAGTTGAAACTTTGTAATTGTTCTTGATGATCTCTTGAATCTTGGTGCATGCATGTAGTGTGTCTTGGGGTTTCTGAGTTGTATAAACAAAATGAGTAAAGATTATGAAGGTATATCGTGTTTAGAGGTAAAGATTGATAGATTTTTGGTGAAAAACGAAGAGTGAAGTCATGGGAGGGCAGGAAGCTCTACATTTTTCGCTGGAGCCCTGAACCGGTGCTGCAGTTGTGGGAGAAATTGTCTTGGCAGAGACTTGGAGCTGCAGCTCCAGATTGGGCGCTGCAGCCCTGAGAGAAAATAAAAACTGGAAGAGAGTTAGAGCTAAAACGCTGAATTGATCGCTGCAGAGGTGGGGCTATATGGCCGAATTTGGTCTTAAGGTCTTCACAAAAGTTGTAGTCTTGGATGTTAGCTTTCCAATGGCACCGAAATCACCCATAAAAGAGGTCTAGAACTCCAGATATAGCTGTTTTAGTGAACAGGGGTCAAGTTGTCAGCATTGGTTATAGTTGTTGCAGTTTTTAGAATTTTTAACAAGGTAGATGATGGAATTAGGACTTGGTATCTTCATGAGAGTTGTAGGAAATCTTCTTATCTTTCATATGAGATAAGAATGAGCATGATAGAAGTAGTATAACTTCGTATATTCTGCTTTATATGAAGGTTGTCATTTCATAATAAGTGATTTGGTTAAGTTGAAAGTTATTTTGTTAAGTTGAAAGTTATTTTGGGTGCTTAGGTTGATTGATGTTGTTTGAGTGTGTAAGTTGGCATGATAGATGAGTTGTAAACATGTAGTATGAGTTGTATTATGTGATGAAAATGTTGTGTGTTGATAATAGATGATTAAATATTGATTAATGATGTTATTGGTGATGCTTTTGTGATGAAGATGAGATGTAAATGAGATGCATGAGTAGCTCTTATGTGTTGTGAATGTTGTATGTGGTTAGAAATGATTGCACAGTATGGGTTGAAATGTTTTGTGTTGAAAGATGATGTTGTGTAGCATGTTGAGGATACTTAGTAGTGAGATGTGAGATGCATGTTGTAGTTGAGTTGTGAAGTTGTAGTTGTATATAGGTGCTAAATGAGTTGAAGAGTTATACGTTGAATGAGTTGTTGTGCTAAATAGAAATGTGTTGAATATATGGTATATTGTTAAAGTTGTTATATGTTATGTGTGGACTATTTATATGTTGTGAAATATGATGAGATGATCTAGCTTGAGAGTTGTGAAGTGCATGATGATAATGTTGTGAGTTGTGAGAAGCATGATGTGCAGTGTGTAGATGTGTTAAAATTTATATAAAAGTTATTAGTAGACTGTGTTGCTAAGTTGTTACATGAGAGTTATATGTTGTTATAAAGTTGTATGTTGTACTATGTGTTGAAAATATATTACTTTATGATGACTGAGTTGTAAATTGTGAGTTGAGCTATTAAGTTGTTGAGTTGACTGTGTTGTTCAAAGTTGAAATGAGTTGATAATTAAGCTGATGAGATGATAACAATGTTGTTAAGGTTGTGAGTTGACTGTGTTGTTCAAGTTGAAAGTTGATTGAGATGATGAGTTGATAACTGTGTTGTTGTGCTATGATGACGAGTTGTTGATCACTAGGATTAGGGGAGAGGTTTTTGAAGTTGCTCATCCCATTGTGTGGATTGAGAGTGTTGTAGTGCTCTAAGAGCCCAATTTTTTGAAAACCCTCATTGGGAAGTTGTCCCTTAGAGTGGATGATGTGTTATTCTCCTCTAGGACTTAGTTGGTCCCGTGTGTGAGCAAGGTCGAGGCACACATGTATGAAGTGACCACAGTATAGGTGCCAGGTCGAGCTATACCAATTACAAGCGGCCAATTCGAGTAAAGTACGAAGTTGGGAACTTAGTTTCTAACCGAGTATCGGAGGGTTGTAGTATTTGGAGGATAGTTAGTAGACTAATCCCATAGGTGGCTTAGTTAAGCTAACTAATGTCGTGGTAAGCCTAAACCCAACTGTCCTATCCTAACATAATACTATACTTACTTGTTTAAGTGGCAAAGTCTGATAAACCGTTATCGTGTTGTGAATTTTTATCCAAATTTATTGTTTACCAAGCAAGCCCAAAAAGGTTCTATGATGTCGATTCGGTAGGATCTAACCACTTAAACTGCTCACCCTGTGTTGTAGGAGATCTCCGAGTTGAAATGCGTGACGACGCATATGTGCTGATGAGTTGGTATTTTGATGATATAAGTTGTATGTGTTGATGAGTTGATATTGCCATGATATGAGTTGTATGTGTTGATGAGTTGATATTGCCATGATATGAGTTGTATGTGTTGATGAGTTGATATTGCCATGATATGAGTTGTATGTGTTGATGAGTTGATATTGCCATGATATGAGTTGTATGTGTTGATGAGTTGATATTGCCATGATATGAGTTGTATGTGTTGATGAGTTGATATTGCCATGATATGAGTTGTATGTGTTGATGAGTTGATATTGCCATGATATGAGTTGTATGTGTTGATGAGTTGATATTGCCATGATATGAGTTGTATGTGTTGACGTGTTGTGAAGATGCTGTTGGGATGCATGTTGGCTATGTGTTGTGTGTTGTATGTTGAACAAGTATGATAATGATGATAGTGTGGTTAGATTACCTATGTTGTAAGTTGCTTTTAAATATATATGTTGTTGAGAGGTATGTAATACATGTATTGTTTGTTGTTATGTTGAATATGGTGACTATTATTATGAGTTGTTTATTTTTCTCTAGCTTACCCTTGCATGTTTGCATGTGATTTGGACATCGATGATCATACAATGTATGAGAGCAAGACAGAGATAGGCTGAGAGATAGCTACTAGAAGCCAGGAGGTGCTTGGAGTGAATATGTTCTTTTGTAGGCTACCTTATATTAATAAATTTTGTTGTATATAATTAGATTTTTTTGGTTGCTTATTTAGCAACTTGTGTTGTAAATATTCTTATTATACTATTTTAATATATATTGTAGTAGTGTGTTATGTTATTCTACAGTGTGACGACTAAGGCAGATCGTTACACACATAACACAAATATACAAGAAAAAATTAATATATAATTTTTTTAAAGTTATAATAATAAAATTTAATTTAGAAGCACTGTGCTGTTGTTTGTTTTTGTAAGTTTAGCAACAAGTTGTAGTTTTTTCTATGATTACATTCACACCGCATATATTTGGACGAGTCTTAGAACAAATAAAACACATAAATACACTATTTAATCTTAAAAAAACTTATATATATATATATATATATATATATATATATATATAGGAAACATATCAAGTGAGAGAGAATTTATTATAAAAGATAAGATGGTTAAAATATAGTCCTTAGATTAATTCCATCTCACTTGATTAAACTCCAAATTTTAACTCTTAGATTAATCAAGTGAGAGGAAATTAATCTAAGGGTTATATTTTAACCCTCTAATCTCTCGTAATAAATTTCCTCTCAGTTAATATGCTCTATATATATATTCTTTAATGCTTTCATTTTCTTTCTCATACCAAATATATCATTTATATACACTAATATTTTATTTTGGATAATATACATGTTAAATGTCTAATTATATATAATTAAAATTTAAAAAAATTATGTATATAAATAAATATTATATTTGAATACGTAAATTATATTTAATATTTAAATAAATAAATATTTTTAAATATATAAATTATATATATTACTAATTATAAATGAAGTGTGATAATTCTTCACAAGCACTTGTACAAAAGAAAATAGAGAGAAAAAACTGAAGTTACCATTTTGTACAAAAGAAGAAAAAGAAATTTGTACTGGAGAGAGGGTAATACAGTAAAGGAATATTTTGACTGTCAATTAAAGAGAAGAATAGAGAAGAGAATTAGGTTTCGTAAGCCAGCTACTGCCACACTTTGTTTCTGTTTCCGCCGAGTTGCAAAACAGAAAAGAGGAGAGGCCAAGAGAAGAGATCGCAGGTTGCGTCCAGAGTGAAACGCAAGAGGTTGAAGAAGAGGCCCTTGCTATCCACATCACATACCTTCGCAATTTCATTTTGATCACGCTTGCTTTGCCCCTTTCTACACTCACAAACCCTAACCTATTTTTTTCTTCTTCTTGTTTTAATGTTATTTATCTTGGCTCTTCAATTTAATTTTTGATTTTTGATACAATTTTTGTCCACAGATTCGTTTATTTATCTGCCAATTTATTTATCCATGCTCTTGTTTATACACTGATCGATCATCTATCTATCTATCTCTTTTTGGCGAAATCGGAAACCCTAATCGGCAATGGTTACCACCACAGTTGATTCTTCCTCTAATCATCACTCCCCCACTAGTGTTGCAGAAAACCCTAACTTCCCGCGAAAAAACCTGCCTTCACCGTGGGCCCAGGTTGTTCGCGGTGCTGATTCCGAGCCTAACCACCAATCGCCGCCTTCTTCTTCCTCTTCGTCGTCCCTTGATTCTGTTACTTCCAATGGGGCCTCTGCAGCCGTTGATGCCTGCGATGCTGCTGTGAAACCCGCATGGAAGAGACCCTCCAATGAGGTCGCGGATGTTGGGCCTGGGCCTGTAATGGGCGCTGTCTCTTGGCCCGCGTTGTCCGAGTCCACCAAGCCCGCTGCTAAATTAACATCTGAATCCTCTGCTAAGACTGCCACTGACGATGGGTCACTCACCACCCCTCAGGTTTGGTTTGTTCACAGGCCTAATTCTATGTTTAGCTCATTGTCCTCAGATTCTGTTAATCTGACGAAAGAAACAAATTTCATGATTAATCTGAGGGGTTTCTAGGGTTCATAATGTGTTAATGTTGTTTCTCTGTTCCTAAACTTCTGGGCGTTATTACATTTTGAACTATCCAAAATCACCTAAAACATGTTTTTTTTTGTTAATTTTCTCATGTTTGTTTTCGTGTGAAAGAGTTGAAAATTTGACTGAATTAAAATAAATTTAGATAGCTTGCATAAAAAAAATTATATCGAAGTTCACTGCTGACTTTCCTTTGGAATTGAAACATCTTAAGCATAAATCACATCACTTCAAAATCAACTTTAACCAAAATCAATTTTGCGAAACAAAATTCATTTAAAATCAATTTTGTCAAAACACTCAAACACACATAATATGTCCTCCAGGAACTTCTGTATTTACAGAAAATAGTTTACATCCTTTCTGTTGTTTTGCAGGGGCCTGTTATTTCAGACTCCCCTCAGAAACAAGGTACTGGTAATGTGAAACCTAGTCCTGCAATGAACCATGGTATGGTTAATAGGCAAAGATCAATGAAGCGTGGAGGGGCTAATAGCAATAATGTTGTGCCTGGTCCTGCTCAGAACAACTTCTCTACACCTTCCCCAAATCTTTCTCCACCACCTCCACCACCCTTTCCTGTGCTTCAGATGCCTCCAAGTACATTTGCGCATGGGATACCAGGGGCTCCAGTTCCTATACCTAGGGATCCTTACAGGAATAATAACTGGGATACAAGGCCTCCACTTGGGGGTTTTATGCCGCCAATGAATGAGCATCGGAGTCCCTCTCGCAGGAGCAATGCCGGGCACCATCCGCGGGATGGTTCCTATCATAACAGTTATGGCAACAGGCGTGATCAGGATCGTGGGAGTTATGCAAATACTAGAGATACTCATGTAAATCAACAGAGGATACCTCCTAGGGGATTAATGAGGCCCCCACCACCTAATCCTGCTTCATTCATGGGGCCTCAGCCTATCCGTCCCTTTCCAAACCCTGCTGGTTTTCCTGGTCAGTTTGTTTATTCTATTTTTAATTATGTTACCACAACAAAACAATCTAATCATCTCTTCCTTTATAGAATTCTATTATTTCCCAACACTACAATTTGAATCCTTTGGGGGCATGCCATTCTTCACACATGCACCTCCGCCTGCAATGTTCTTCCCGGTTGCAGAAACTCCGCTCACCAATACAATAGTCAACCAAATTGATTATTACTTTAGGTAATTTATTTTGTTCTGCTATTCATTAGTTTGCCAACAAATCCTGGCTATTGAATTTTCTATTATTGCTTATTGTTTTTGACAGTGATGCTAATTTAGTGAAGGATGAGTATTTAAGGTCCAACATGGATGAACAGGGATGGGTTCCTATTACTTTGATTGCAAGCTTCCCACGTGTGAGTTAATTGTGCCTGATCAACATTTTTTTCTGTCAAGTCTTTGAGTATATGATACAGTGTATGATATATGTTGAAACCAGAATTCATAGCTAAAACATTTGTATAGTGGTGGTCTTTTGATATACTTATTGGTTGTTGTATAGTATGGTTGAATGATTTTAGTCGTATACAAACCATTTGTTTGCTGTGGATATTTTTAATAGATCCTTATTTACCTTTAAGGAATTTTGGCTTTCATATCTAATGGTAATGTTTATTACCTTAGAAGCAGTTGTAGTTGTAGAAACTGAAGATAAAATTTTACAGAATAATTAAGCTGAAAAAAGAATTAAAAAGAATGCATTTACTGAGTGCTTTAAAGAATACATTCTGATTTTCTTATATTAAATTGCCTAGCTTTTTATTGGAATTAATGTGGCATCTATGTGTTGCTTTACTTTAATACTTGATATCTATGCTCTGAGCTCTACATCTCACCAGCAAAGATCCCCTGTGGGTTTAATATTTTTCATCAATTATTTCACCACTGTTAAAGCAACCCATTGCCATAGGAAGCATTGTCCTTAGATTGAAATGTTATTTAACATGCATAGACTGATGGTAGGAACAACTATGGATTTCACAAAGCTTTAAAATGGTGTTAAAGTGTTCTCTATTTCCAAGTCATTTATTTATTATTGTTATTGTCACAATTTTATTGCTCCTTTTCATGAACTTTTCTTTTTCAACATATACAATGCCATTGGTATTAATGTTGGGAGGAACAAGTCTCCAATGACTATGTGCTTTGGTTAGCTATGGACTTGGTATTCAAGTTTGGATTTTAAATGATCTAAACAATTACAGCTTTTTCCATTTCATTTTATGCCCGATACTAATTTATGTTTTGGATTGATCCTTGACCCTTATATTGCCAATAGTTATCATATACCATCAACGTTATGTGATTTGATTAAACTTTCATAGGTAAAGATTATCCTGGGTTTCTTTTTGCTCTAAAGATTATCTTTTTGCAGGTTAGAAGTTTGACAAGCAACATTAAACTGATACTGGATTCATTGAGAACTTCCACTGTCGTGGAAGTGCAGGCAAGTTAATTTCTTATTAAGTATTGTGTCATCCTCTTTCTGCTTTCACTGAACACACATTCTACACATTTCATTTTTGTTCATTCCAATGTTAGAGATGCAGTGGAGGTATGTTTGAATTATATTTTAATTAACGCTATTCAATTTGTTATATTTTCTATTTAGTTATTTCTGCCCTATCGTATTTGGTGTAGGGCGACAAGTTGAGGAGGCGTAATGAGTGGATAAAGTGGCTGCCCTCAGCTCAACTTCGTGCCAAGGCTGGTTCAATATCCCCTAGCGGATCAAGTTATAATAACCTAGCAGCTGATTTTGAGAAGATCACAGTAGATGAGACTATTACAGAAGATGTTAATTCTGTGCCTACCACAAATGATGCTGCTGCTGAAGGAGAGTTCTCCAGTCAGTCCCAAGTTCCAAATGGTGATGCTACTACTGCAAGTAGCAACTAAAATTCAGCACAATTTATCTACCCATCCCAAAATACTTGGCCCATTCTAGTATCTGGCCCTGTGTGACTCTTGATTTTAAAAGGGTTTTTTTTTTGGAGGGGTTGGTAGGATAGGTTGTTTGGAAGTTTGATTCCTTTCTACAGTGACTGAGGTCGATTTTGGTAGCAATTGAATCAAATAGGGAAAGAAATAAGAATTCTTCGGAATTATTATGGTCTAAAGAAAAAGAAAGAAGTAAACGAGACAGAAGAAATCTAGAATTTTGATGGAGGTGAATTTATTGAGTTTTTTTTTTTTTGTATAGCTTTATATTTGTTGCGGCTGATTTATTCTTTATTTTCTGCTGGTTTTGGGTGGGATGTGTGGGTAAAGTAATTTTTTTTTTATCAATGGAATTGTTTTGAGCTCGTACTAACTGTATGTTCTTTCACTTCTGTGTGCTTGCGTAACACGGGTTGTAGATTGTTTGATAGTTTTGCGCTTTCATACTTCTGGCCTAATTATTTGTGATTTCTTGATTTGCTTATTTCTCTATACTGTCTCACTTATTTTTTTTGTCGAGTATAATAGTCATGTATTCTCAGATTAAATGTTTTTATAATATTAACTAATAAGAAGTAATTCTTTGTATGAATTCTAAGATAATAAACGTTTATGCAACATTAACCAGCAAGGAATCATTCTTTGTATGAATTTTAAGATAATTAGTATCAAAGTCCATTAAATTTATAGTCAGTGTATAGTTTGTTTTTATTTGCAGTTTGGTTTGGTTTATGTTTTTATAGTTAAAAGCAAAACGAGTCAAATTATCTTCTAATATTCTTATGTTGATATGCTTTTTTTTATTTATTTATAATAATATGGGTTTTTTTGTTAATTCACTGTTTATAACCATGTTAATATTACTTTCAAGGATTGGTTATGACTAGGTTATTAGTTGCTTTGTTGTTAATTATTAAATTAAAGACAATATAGAAGTCATAAATAAATGAAATTAAATAAAAAAATGAATCAAATTGAATTGTAATTTATTAGTTTGTTTTAATTAGATTTGATAAGTTATTTTAGGAAAATATTATTATGATTAATTCAATTGTTTTATAGTTTTAAAAATCAAACCAAATCTAACATAACGAAACTTATACTTCAGCTGTGATAAACTGATAGCAGGCGTTACACTGCACATGACTCGAGTTTCCTCCAGGCACTTTGCTGTTTGTCCAGTATTATGCTAATTTTGGTCTGATTACTTTATAAAATATACCAGTAAATGTAAAATGGAAACTACATGTGACTTCCTCCGTATTCTCATTCATCTTTTCTATACAGCATAGCATGATATTAATGAAACCATTGAAGAGAAAATAACCTACGCACTATAGCGTAAAAACTTAATCACGATTCATTATATATAATAAATTTGTTTATCTTTATGAGAATTATCTTAAATGTTATACAATGATTTTTTCTATTAGTTAATTGTGTATTTTTAGATATCAATTTAAAATTATGTTCAATTGAAAAATGTATTTTCTTATATAAATTTTTTTTTTAGTGTAATTTTTGTTTCAACTCATGTTGAGTTGAACTCAACTAGTTCCTAAAAGATTTTACACCGACGATACATCAATATTAAATTCAGTTTAGAGGAGATTTTAGTCTATGCATTGATGGTGAAAATGTAATAATAATGTAAAAGAAGTTTTACATTGTAGTTCAATCTCAAGTATCATATATGATAAATTTATTGACTTTTATAATAATTATCATAAAAGTTGTCAAATAACTATTTTTTATTGATTAATAATGTAAAACTTTTTACACTCTGTATATAAATAATACATTTAATTAGGAAGATAAGACAACGTTGATAGTTTAAAAGTTTTTACACTAACAATAGTATCATTCAGTTATGTAAAGAAAATGGTGTATGTACTAATAATAATGCATAATTGTTCTATACTATCATTCAATCATAAATTATTATGTATGATAAATTTGTTATTGAGTTCAATGATAACTATTCTAAAAGTGATACAAATGATAATTTTTTATTAGTTGGTAGTGTATAATCTTTAACTCCAATTAAGAAAAGAAAATAGTCATTAAAATAGTTTTACATTATCATTTAATTATAAATTATATGTTTACATGCTATTTAAAATAATTATTATAAAATTAATAAATTTATTATTCATGATTTACATGATCATTATTTTTCTTAGTGGTGTTTGTAGACAAAGAACCACAATGTAATTTACTCATTGAGCGTACAACTTGGTCTATATTAACTGCAAGTAGCCTTATGCTCAGAATATCAAAATATAATTAGTCAAGTAGTTCAGAATATTTTAATCAATTATCTTCATGAACAATCCAAAACGTTTGAGCTGTAGAACAATCCCCCAAAAGATGATAGGTTCACTATGTTATCCACTAATAACAAGCTAAAGCTGGATAATACATCTGAGAAACAGTCGCAGAATGATTATAGGAAATCAAATAAAATTCAGGATAATATTTTAAAATAAAATTAAAAATAATTGAATTTTTCTTATAACTAAGAGTAAAAAAAAAAAGAGTGAATATTTAAATGCACATGATTTGTATAAAAAAGTTTATTAATAACTTTATAAAAAAAATTAACTAATCATGCCTCCTATAATATATTTCAACTGAGTTATGTTTTCGTTGAAGTAAAATAACTTGGTTAAACTAGAATTGTGAAAATGGATCACAAATCGTGAGTCAAGTTGATTTACCACAGTCGGATTGAACTCAAAAGGATTTATAAATTTTAATATCACTGAAAATAAAAAATAAAAATGAACTCACCGGCCACATCCCATTACATAAAAAAAAAAAATTTAATCCAGAGTCCAGTGAGCCTAGCTAGGCATGGAAACGGGGTGGGAGCGAGTTTTACATTACCCGCTCCCGCTCCCTCAGATTTAAACTGTCCCCGCCCCCGTTCTCGATACTCGCTGGGAGTAAAATCTGGCCGAATGGTACACATCCCATCAGTCTATCCCCACAGTTGAAGTCGGCACGGTTGATGGTCGAGACAACCACATCATATCGGCACACATCATGTCGGCACGGCCAATAATTAAGACGATTCATATCCAGCTGGCACGAGATGGGTTACCTCGACTCGTCTTGGTGTTTCTGATTCCCGATACTCGTTTGGCATTCCCGATAGGCGAAAGGACCTAAAGAGCAGTTTATGGACCACATAATCATCCTTAATCACAGATTAGGGGATAATTATGCATACGTACTAATTAGCGGTGTATTACCTAATTTGGTAATCCTAGTACAAGGCCCATAGAAGACATGGTCCATTAATGTCAGTATAAATAGTTCACATCTCGAGATAATGTCACTGATCATTAATTACTATCGATATTCGTGCTTATCTTGACTTAAGCGTCGAAGTGTCTTTTGCAGGTACCCTCCTCCTTACCAGAATATTTGCTTAGAACTCTTGTTTAGCCTTCAAAGTACGAAAAAATTACTAAGATGCCCTTTAGATAGGTACAAAATTAATCTTTGACAGACTAATTTAATGACAAAAAAATTGAAAAGACTAATTTGTTAACATTTTTTAAGTTAATGTGGTGGCACGAAAATTTAGGGATCAAATTAAGGATTTATTCATTATAAAAGCATCGGCTCTTCTGTAACTAAGGAACTGAATCAATCTTTTTGACATCCAATGAACCGAATAAATCTAATAAATAGAATATTCGATGAATTCATTATTTTTGATAAATTTTATGATTCTAGCTACCTACTCCAAGCATATTGCGCTTCGGTGAGAGGTAGTAGAATCAAAATAACCCCAAGTGTGTGGTTCAGCGATAGGAGTTGATCCACGCTTAAGGAAGGTAAGGGGTTCGAATCCTGCCTTTGTGTATACAGTCGCGTTAAATCTTGGGGTCAGCTATCCCACCCTTTGAGGTGCATCCAACGTAGCGTGGAGATTAGTCACTGCTATCAGCGGTGAATACTCCAGGAACGAACAAAAAAAAAAGTAGAATCAAAACGTATTAAAAAAATTGAGGATTATGAAACAACTATAATTAAATAGTTAAATGGAACAAATATAAAGTGATGGCTTAAATACAATTTCAGCATAAAAAATGTATTTTATTTTATTTTAATCTTATTAAAGTACATATTTTTAATAAGTTAAAAAAAAATTAAGCCTAAAGTTGTATATTGTGTGCCGATGCGTTATTGTCGTTTAAAACTTTAATTTTGAAGAATTTAGAAATTTATTGAATTAAACTTACACATATTATGAGTGAACACCCAATTTAATCTCTAAAAATTAGTAGATGTGGCAATAAGTTCATGAAATATTTTTTATCACACCTGAATTTGTAAATTTTAACTCTGTTATGCAAGTTAATATTTTCACTATACTCAATTATTAATCCTATTGATCTTTTGGCCATTTAACAGTTATTTATTATGTTACGTTGTCACATATTTTCTCTCTAAGTTAGTTGTTCTTTCTCCTAAACACCTAAATTTGGGTTTAGGATCTTGTTAATAATCAATCTTTTCTAATAAATAATGTTTTTCTTTGCATCTTTGTGCAATAAAAACATAATATAAATATCCAGAGAAATGTTAGTTCTAATTTGTCTCTAGAAGATTTTTGTAATGTTTATCTATCCGTGGGTGTGCACAATGAAACATACCAATATTTCATCAAACCAAAGTTTTTTAGTATTAGTAAGTGGGAGAGAGGATAGATGCATTATGATCCACACTAGGTGATTAGGATAAATAAGTGGGAGATAGAATACATGTCAACGTGAGAGTTAACTATTAACTAGTAATGAGACTAATATAACTAGTAATTGAGTATAATTAAAGAACTAACTTGCATAACAAAATTAAAATTTAGGAACTTAAATGCCACAAAATTTTTTTTAGAGACTCATCGATCACCTCCACCATCTTTTTAGGAACTAATTTGAGTGTTTACTCCATATATTATCTTTGCATTGTATAGGAAAAATGTGGTTGGAAGAGAAAACTTCACTAGGATCTGGTTTCTCGATGAATATTAGTTATTGACGAAGTCAATAAATATTCTGTACCAATGACATGGTTACCAAAAAAAAAAATTATCTTCACAAATTGTAACTCCTTAATTATATTTATTTGTTCACACACGCTTATATAAATTATTGAATAAATCACCTGGATCAATATAATATTAATGAGATTAAATGAGTATATATTGAGTCTTAGATTTAAATCATAGTGTTATAATTGAAAATTTGATAAATAAAAAAATATAAATTATTGAATAATAAATGATCTTGTAACATTTTAAAATGGCCTTAGTGACTAATTGTATATGAGGGTATGTATTATGAGAAAATTATTTTTTATTTCGAAGTGAGAAGAGTAAAACGGATAAAAAGAAAAAAAATGTGATAAGAGAAAATATTTACAATATAATTATGTGAATTTAATTAATATATACATGTGTTATCGGCGTATTTATTTATTTATTTTTATATATGGGTTGAATGAGAATTAATCCTATTATCATATTATTAGAATAATTATAATATGACGTACTAACAAATCTTGAGTGATATTAATTTCCATCTCTTCAAAAGAGATTTCAAGTTTAAATCTTGAACAAATGAAAAAAAATAATAATTAAATATATATATATATATATAATAATGAAA